CTGGAATTCTGCAGCGTCAAGGCTCTTCGTTGGTTGGTGGATGTAATAACATGTCCTATCCATAGGCCACCGACATGATAACCTGTACGACGTTGAGCCTGGAATTGAGACTTGCGTGCTTGCAATCTAAGCTCCCTGCCGTGTGGCACTTGTTCGAGGGTGTTTCTGACCGATCCCGAGCTCTGATCGAGTCATTGAATAAAAGTTGACGTTACTGGTTCCGATAAAGTCGGTATAATCCTCATATTGAACTGAGATGATCAACGGTATATCGTTATATCATTGTCAAGGAGATCAATCTCGATGGCCGTTCAAACATACGTCGTTTGAAGAAGACCATTCTGGAGATGTTCAAGCTCCCAAATGCCATCTAGACGCGGTGTAAACGCTTGTGGTACATGAATTCTTGATCTTCGTCGATTGCCATAATTGCATCCAAATCATACCGGTAGTCTTTGTAGGATTTAGGGTACCAAACACAAATTGGACCGAGGCGCAACGGTGGGCCAGGCCGATCCGCTTTTGCTAGCCCCCCCTGTGACGTTTGTTTCCATTCGGGAATGCGGACCAATGTCCGGGGTTCCATCAAAGTTGTCTCCACTCAGCCACGTTAAGGTGTCTACTCGTCGGTGACGATGGATCGCCAAAGGCCGCTCTCTAGAACATTTCCCAGACGGTATCGAAGGCCCACAGAAGCCTCGAAGAAAGGGCGGAGGGGCATCGGCCTGATAATGTGCGATCATGCCCACCGACGCGGTTCGGATTGCATAGTGTCCACTTTGAGCCATCGTCAATCCAGAAACTCCAGAGCCTGGAGGCGTCGAATTGCCATCGTGACCGAAGCCATCGGAAACAGCTGTGCATGCGGCATGCTGTCCCAAGTCTCTGTCAATTTAGTTGCACTGGACTCTTCTACTTCCTGCATCGGTTAGTCCACTCTCGAGGCATGACCAAGTTGGTTTCCGGGACGTGATCCGTGGCCGTCTGCTTCAGATCGCGTTGCAGTTTGCTCTTCACGATCTTTCTCTTACGCAATGGACAACGACAATTGCAGCTGCTCCAGGAGAATCCTGAGAGTAATCCCAAATCTGATGCCGGTGGATACTGAGTAGTAGATATTGAATGCTTGCGACAAATAGTACTGTGCTCCTAGTCCTGATCTGCATGCTGGACAGTCCTGTGACCACGGATGGTCAAATCCTCGCCCCGGGTTTCTACTCTTTAAGGGTTATACTAGCTTCCAGGGTGGAATACAAGGGATCCATGACCAGCAGCGGTACCGTCCCGGGAACCGGGGACTAGCAGGCCAATAATCCACACGGAGCACTGGAACTGCAACAATGGACTGCTGACGGCTGGTAGCACAAAGTGTGGCGCTATGCGCCAATCTTCCCGTCGTCCGTTGCCAATGAGTTCATGGGGTCTGGGGGAAAAATCGAGCCTGTCTCATATTCTGGAAGCATGGCCCGCCCCATCGAGGATCGGTGTCAAAGTCGATTTCCTGGATCGAGTTACCGGGGCTGCAGAAATAGGACACAAACTCTGTTATTCAAAGGCATAGCAGATCCGCCTTCCTCTGGCGGATACCGACTGTCTATCCTTGCAGTACTTTTGTCGCCTCACATCAGGGAGTGAGGCCGCTTTCCGGTCCAAGAATAGCCCAGAGAGGCAGAAGATCAGCTCAGAGGGGCCTGCTGCCACAGATCGGAAGTCCCATTGGGACTTTTGCATCATCAGGCTTTCCTGGTGGGAGGGGGGAATGTGGGCGTAAAGGACGAGTTTCAAGGGGCATCACAAGTTGCGGTGAGGGCACACACACACACACGTCCAGTTATCGGGCCGCCCAAGAATGAGAGATCACTTTCAGGATCAGTAGACGGGTTCATCCCCTGGTGATGGGACCACCCATCGTGGACGGATCATGAGGTGTCTCATAAGGCGATAAGATTCTTAGACAGGAGGAGATTTGCTGCAAGGTCAATTGATGGAGAGCCGAATTAGTCCGTCATCGGTGTCCACGAACTGTTGGACCATCGTCCTTCCAACCATTTGCTGGGGGCGACACACTAAGTGAAATTAAGTAGAGCCGTGAGGGTCCAAGCAGACAGCTTGATTGACAGGCCATCGTAGTCTCACGCAAGCTAAGCTTAAGCTATGTTTAGGCAGGTAGGTAAAAAGGAATCCGAGGTGCGTGCAGAGAGGTGTGAAAAAAGCAAACATCCTTCTTGATCGTGCGTACCTGTCGACTGTCTTGTCTTTCCCAGTCGATCGGGTCAGGCGAACGGCGGGGGAAGCTTTTCCTTCTCCCCTCGCTCTCTTTTTTACACCCTTTGTTTTTCTTAAAAGAGAATGAGAAAGGTGCTTTTGCTGTGGGGACTTTCTGGAGAAAATGGTCGAGTTCTCGAAGTCAAAAGAACCGAGTCAGGTGAGATGTACATTTTGGTTTGTTTGCTTTTCCCGTTTTGGCAGCTGCACAAGGGGGCGGGGATCACCTGACTAAGTACGGTGCAGCACACATCAATTTTCCAAAAGCAAACTTGAATCGTGTTGTATGTGCTAGGTATACCTCACTATTATTTGCTTCCGCCTTGTTTATTATTGATTTCCCACCTCCAAAGTTTTTCGAGCAATCACACAGGACCTTGAAAGCATTCGCATTCGCAAAACTAGAACCATGGCTATTGCCACTTCTCCCGTATCCTTGTGGAGCCGGAAACGCGATCTCGTCTACTTCGCATTCTTCGCCATCCATGTCCCCATCATCTTCTGTAAGTCGGGAGTTTTCCCCCAAACTACCGAGACACTTTCGTTTCCCCCTCCAATCCCTACTCTGTTCCAATGCAGAAAGACGGTTTTTCTGTACTACTCTGCTGCTCCTCCCCCCCCCAACCTCCACCCCCAACACAAATCAGATGTAGATGAGACATAAGCGAGTGAGCGAGCGAGCGAGCAAGCAAGTAAGAAGGGCAAAACAAAAACTGACATGATGCACGCAAACAAACACGATCAGTGGTCGATGCCGCTCCCATCCTGCCGTCTTTCCTCCAGTCCAATCTCAGCGTGACGCTACGCGAGTTCTACATCGAAACCTATCATGACAAGTTCTTCGAGGAGACCCCAACCACTTGGTTTACCTTCTTTCTATTGATGGAGCTATTCTATCATGTTCCGCTCAGTGTCTGGGCTCTACGCGGCCTGAAGAAAGGTATGTACAGTACACACAGTCCATCAATCCAGTACTTCGGGTTGCCAATGGGTGGATCATTTTTCGTTCTTCTTCTTGGGGTTCCATGATCTACTCCTATGCCTCTGCCTCCTCCACTCTCTTCTTCCCTCCCGGGAAATCCCCCCCCCTCCCCTCCCCCTAACCTCCCCTTACATCACAGCCCTGTCTCCATCCGTCTTTTCTTTTTTTCTTTTTTTTCTTTTTCTTTTCTTCGATTTTAATTTTCTTTTTCTCCCACTGGGTGCTTGCTTGCTTACCATGACAGATGATCCTCTTGTTCCCGTCCATTTGCTCGTTTTCGGAGTGCAATCGTTTCTCACCTCGGCCATCTGTCTGGTGGAGGTCTGGAGCTGGACGGACCGTACGCTCTCCCAGAAGCAGAATATTACCATGCTCTATGGTCCTTATGTTGCTCTCGGTAAGGCTGATCTAAATTTAGGGCTTGCTTCCTTCTGTGGAAGACAGCATGTAGTTATCGTACAAGTTGGCCGGGGCTGACTTATGGGTTCTCTAGGCGCATTTATGGCAGTCGACATGTTTTGTAGACTCCGCGAGCGACTTGTGCTCAAGTCCAAGTTGGAGTAGACGGCTAAGTCCCTCGAAATTTAGTTTGGTTACTTTCGTTGGATCTGCGACGGGCTTCATGCCCCAGGTAGCGAAAGGTTGGAAGAAGGGGTGGTCAGGAATTAGAAAGCAGATCTTGGTCACCACATACGCACATGGATTACTACAGTTGCTCGGATAGAGGCACGCAAAAATACTGACTTGCCTTATCATAGCTTCCAGCTGTTAGATTGTGGCATATATGCTCGCTGCTGCACAGGTTCTAGGTGCTTCCCGAGTGACAGCAGAACCCGCCACACCGACTCTATGTGAGAACATTGCATAATAAGGATGAGAGACAGGGCGCCCGCAGTGTAGCTTGGCCAAGAAAAACAAATATTGCAATCGCGAGAAAGCACTCCCCTACAGACAGAAAATGGTGACTGGTAGCCCACCTCGTAGCGACCTCCGTTATAGCAAGAGCCGAGAGTCACAGGGACAAAATGCGAGCAACATCAGGAGACCATTTATCACAATGACAGAAAGAAAAATCGCATCTCACAGTGCACATTCGACTCGGCGATGATAGATCAAATTGAGCGGTAATAAACAGAATGGCCAGGCCTCGCCCGGTCATGTCAAGGAAATCTACGTCAGGTCGTGACATCACACATTAAATCAGGAATCCAATGGCCTCGTCCAGGTTCCCGTTGGCGGCATCTAATGCACGCATCGCCTCTTCCCGTGTGAAGCCCAGCTCTGTGATTTTTCCAATGGAAACTTGTGGCCAGCGCGATGTTGGTGGGGCTGGGCGGGAAGGAGGAGGCGCGGAAGAACCACCAGATCCTTGACTGCTGCCACCGGCCTGATGCGTGACCGCTCCGGTTCGGGCGCCGACTTCGGCGCCATCGGGTCCTTTGATGACGGGTTCGTCCTCGAATTCATCCAGAAGATGTCTGGGAATATCCGCCTCACCAAGGAAGGGGACTGCCTGGTCCTGGATCACCAGAGCACCGCGCTGGAGATCAATGCAGGCTTGATGCCGTTTCAGCATGTCCAAGCCCAAGAGCAAATCAATATGTTTGCCTTCCATGACAGTAAATGAACACGGCAGGAACATGCTGCCAATCCTTATTTGTGCCGAGTGCACCCGACCTAGAATGGTTGCTGTTCCCACGCCCTTTGCAATGCCGCCGTACCGCCGATCAACGAGTCTCATAATGTTGCACGCGGTCGCACATTCTGGCGACATGATGGTGACCTGTGCACCGGAGTCGACAAAAGCGTTGAGTTTGTGGCCGTTGACCTCGACAGGGATATACAACATGGTTACGCGACCGAATGCTGTGCTGTATGTTTAATCACCAGCTCCGCAAATTATGAACACTTGCAGGTCCGACTTACACTCCGGATGATGCTCCATTGCATTATGGAGGTTTTCCGTCACAGCATTCTGACGAATGATCTCTTCGATCTGCTTCTGATTTTCGGGATTGAAAGGATCGGCATTCAACATGGCAATCCGCGCCTCCTTCTCCGCCTCCATTTGAGCTTCGCGGGTTTGTTGTCGGGTGAGGACCTCGCGGAACCGCTGCGCATCGTTGGCAGCGTCCGCCAATTCCGGGTTCTGCCTTCGGACGGCTTCCCGTACACGAGGGTCACCCAAAATATGTAGGCGAATTGTCTCGGGATCTGGGGTCATAGCCTGACGTCGCTGCAGATTCTGTTGGGCGGCAGCAGAGCTGGGACCTCCTATGCTCCGGGTGGGCGCGGGGGGCCCTCGCAGCGTCACATGGACACCGAGCATATCCCCTTCACCGATGCCGACTTGCTCAAGCGTACGGGAGTCATCACCGAGGAGTTGATTGTTATATACGAGTCGCTGGGCGTCGGGCGGTATCGAGGTTTCACTTTCAACAATAGCTTTCAGGAGCTCGACGGTCATATCCGCCCCGACTTCGAGGGAGATAATATCGGCATCGGCCTGGTCTGGGCGAATTACGCTTACCGTGATGCGCCTAGAGATAGATGGGATCATCATTAGCTTAAAAAGGTTTTCCTGGAAATGATTTCTCCGAGTGTATGCCCGTTTGCGACGTACATGATGTTGTGCAGCGGTAGGTGCGGGGAAGCTCTCCCAAACCCGGGAAGAGTAAGCTGAATCGAGGAAAGAAGAATGTAGGATTGAGGCCGTTTCAGAAGGACTGCAAATGAGTACGCTTAAGAAGCTGAGAGTCAAAGAAGCTATGTATCTGTCCCAAGTGTGGTTGATTTCTAATGGAAGTGCGTAGAGACCCAGGGAAAGGTAATAGGGGAACGAGCACGCGAGGAGAGGTGGTGTTGTAGAGAAGAGGAGTAAGACGCGGGCGGGGGAGGATACGACCGAAGAGGAAAGGGAGGAAAGGATCGGAAAGATGCAGAGGTCTTAAGGGTATTCAGGTAAGGTAGAACCTAGAATAATAAGAAGGAATAAAAAGGTAAGGGTATTTAGAAATAGCAGGAAGTACTGTATTGTGTAGGTGCAGTTGAGTGAGTGAGTGAGTGGGTGAGTGGGTGAGTGAGTGATAAGGAAGGCGGGATGGGCAGGTTACGGTTCCTGGTAAAGTGCAGAATGAATGGGGGTCCGGCGGCCGGCCTGATTCGGCAGGCAGCAAGTCATGGTGCGTCATCCGTCCACCCATCGGCCCCCGGGCCTGCGACCGTAGCTTCCGGGCATACATACATGCAATCTCCAAACAACTCTAACCCATTCTACCTCAAGCTATTGAATGAGTGCTCGGGCTTGAGTTCTTCCTTTACCATTTCAATGGAGCATTGTACTTTGCATCTATCTCATCTCATTTTAACAAGCGTCATTGAAGGAGACAGCTATGGCCATGTTCGCTATTGTTCTAGACCCAGAATAATCACCACTGGCACCAAAAAGAGAAGTATATCTTCCACCCGACCTGACACCACTATGTCTGTCATCGTGTTGCTGACCATCGCTGACTATAAACTAGTTCATGTTCATCGTGACTACTACTATCACCTAGTCACTAAGATGGCGAAAATAGTGTCAGGTCACATGAGCGAACCCTCCTGTCATCAGGCTTGGCCGACAGCCTTTTTGGTTAATCATAAGCCCGGGCCCGATTAACTAGTGGCCGTTAGCGATACCTATGACATTCGAGCTAACCAATCCATACATCTCTCAATTTCTAAATTGGGATCCCCCTTTCCTCTATTGAAGGCTATCAATGCGGTCACTGCTCGCAAGTAAGTCATTGGTCAGCCATGAAACATTTCATTACGCTACTATTTGATGTAGGCCTATCGCTGTGTCTATACCTCAACCTCGAGCGTGCTTGCGGTCTTTTCATCGCATCCCAGTTGCTGAATTGATACAAAGTGACTATATGAAAACCTAAAGAACAATTACGGGACGTTTCGGTTCACCTCAAGATGCTGCCCCGAAAGAAGAGGCCATCATAGGCCTCGTGGCTGGCATCACTGCATCAGACACTGCCAAGGATTAAGCATATGGACTGAAGATGAGCTGTGTGAACTAGTACTGAAAGGATACCACCTTGCAGTTACTACACTGTTTGCCTGTTTCGTGATGCTGCAGACTAGTCTGTGCTCAGGACCCCAGTCAAGTAACCGTCTTAGCCTCTGGGGTTGATGGTCCAAACGCAACGCTGGCAAGCGCGGATATTGCTACTTTACTTCCTACCCTACGGTTCGAGGCCTACCCCGCTATGCGGGGGCAGAACATGCGAGATTTGCGGCTATGCTTCGATGTTTCATCGGTGGCTCGACTAAGCATAAGTACAGAAGTGTGGTCAATTATAGTGACTATTGCGTGACAATGTGATTCAAGCAGTACTTATTCCAAACGCTTTGCCACTGATACATCTGGCACTCCCTCACCTTCCACAATTTTCGCACCAACAACTTCGTCTACTGGAATCTCAGCCAAACGAGAAATGATGTGATGCAATGTGGGTAGTTGTGTCCAGTTGAGACCATCGATCTCAAACCTTGCGTTCTTGGTGGTTCGCAACCGGGTGATCTTGGAGGGAACCACCTTGGCCTCCTCCGCATGTGGCACAATGACAGGGTACTCTGCTTCGGGTACTCCCTTGTTCTCATGGCCGACCTTAGGGAAGTAGCGGTGCACCAAGATTCCCACGCTGGAAGGATTAGGATTCGTGTTCATTTCTGGTTCCTGATCCTCGAGATCTTCCAAATGGAAGTGGCCCCAAACGGCACCTTGCCAGCTGGTTGTCAAATGGTGCGAGTTGCTGCGATCGTGGGCATCGATTGCTGTATAGAGCTTGGGCATGCCAAGCTCCTCACGACCGCTGACGATAGGGTCCGTCAGACTCTCGAACAGAATCGGCAAATAGGTGCCTTCAACCGTTTCCCCATTCTTCTTCTTATACTGCACTCCCTCGATGTACAGCCCGATGTGGCGGTAACCGCCTCCGCCCAGCCAGTCCATGCGGTGGAGTTTCGTTTGGGAGAAACTCGCGTAGGCTACTGTACCCTGGTTCACAAATGACCAAGAGTCGTTAGGAAGTAGGTTCTGAAGGCAGGTTCGACTGGTTTTAAATCGAATGGAGACTGTCTCGAAAGTGGCTTTGAGCGATTTCTGGACACGATCTCGACCGTACCAGTCCTGTCTGGGACCAGGCATAGGCCCGAACACTACTGGCTGACGCCAGTACTTGGGCGCCCCTTGACTCCAGATGTGCTTTCGGAGGAGGTTGGTCGAATGATCATATTCGTCATGCCCGTAAATGTAGTCTTCCATTCTACGGACTAAGTGAGGTCAATAACCTTGGACGGCAGAATTGAGAAAGGGGAGGAACTGACTTTCGTCGACGGGCTGGGGGCCATCAGAATCGCGAGTCATCTGTTGAATCGTGGTAGCTCGGGTGTATCGAGCTTCCTCGTACAGCTTCAACCTCTCTGGGACTTCTGCTGGGTCGAGGTCCTTCGAGAGCATCACACCCAGAGACACGCCGTCCTCGATGGCCATGGCGCCACCAGAAGCGCGGTATGGCAAGAACGGATGAACGGCGTCTCCCAGCACTGCCAGGCGACCGTTGACCCACGTGGGCGGCTTTTGCATGTCGAAAAGGGGCCATACTTTAAGTGTCTGGGGATCAGCCTTGGCCAAGATCTTGACCACCTCTGGCTTGAAGTCTTTGTAAACTTCCAAAAGAGCATCCTTGCTGGCCTCTTGATCCCAGTCTGCGCCGGTGTTCACCTTGCTCAACGTGTCAGGGTGGATGCAAACAAAGTTCAAAATCTCATTGTTGGCACATGGGTAGATGACCACACGCTTGTCATGGGAATCCCACATGCTACAGATGCTGGGAATGTCGGCCAGGGATTTTGTCTCGGGGTCTTCCTGGGCGACCTTGCGCGACAAGAGGAAGCGAAAAGCGTTCTTGCCAGAACTGAAGGGCTCGATCTCTTTGGTGCCTGGCAGCTTCGTTCTCGCAAGTGAGTGTACACCATCTGCCCCGATCACGACATCACCATGGAAGACTTGGCCGTTTTCGAGAGTGATTGTGGCAGCTTCTGGATCAATGTCAACAACCTTGCTGGCAGTATGCAGCTCGGCAGGAATGCCAGGACCAGATCCCTGAGCGACGTTTTTCAAGCCTTCGTGGAGATGGGCCCGATGCACAAGAGACCATTTCTATAGATGTTAGACTGTAATGAATATGGGGCAATGGGTTGTTCTTACAGTTCGCCACCTATCCGCCCGTGATTTGTGATCGACAATTGCCAGCGTCTTGCCAGCAGGATTATAGATGTGCAGCTTGGGGAAGGTGAGCTTCCAGTTACTGAGTAAAATATTCCACGCGACAAACCTGGTCTACTTCCACGGCTCCAAACTTGGCAGCATCAATACCCAGACCTAGCAGCGCGGAATTCGCATTAGGTGTGAGATGAATAGCAGCTCCAATCTCATTTGCGAAACGAGAACGCTCGAAAAGCTGCATGGAAGCGGTTAGTTTGAATCGGATATGAGGGTCAGTTTACACACCTGAACGCGATGGCCCTGCTTGCGTAGTGCAATGGCAGCAGCCAACCCACCGATACCAGCACCAGCAATAAGAATGTTTAGCCCTCCTTGTGAGGCGGTCTTCGGATCGATGCTGCCCATGATGCCCGTTTTGCGTTATAAACGTGCTGCGTCAATGAAAAGAGGTTGTCGAGAAGCGGGGGATATAGACCGTCCGCCTGATAGCCCTGCTCTCTTTTTTATAAGCCCGCAAACTGACATGCTAAAAAAAGCGATGGACGCCGTTCACCCCCTTACGTGGAGAGTAGCATGCATACCTTGCTTGGACTATTGCCCACCTTTCGGGTTGGTTCTACTTAACTCCCCCGCGCAGGTTCGGCTCACCATTTCGGCCCCACGTTCGGAGCGTTTACTGTGTGTATGAGCAAGTGCTCGGAGAGCAGACCCCAACTTACAATTGGCAAGCTGCGTATTTGAGTCTCCGAGTACTTATCTCACGTACCACCGAGATCAATCTGGATTACCTTCTCTTCTTTCAACGAAAGAATTGCCGCATCCCGAGGCCTTTGCAAAGTGAAGACAACATGCCGAACCCTATCCGCGAAGACCTCGCCACGGTGGACGATAGTTCTTTCCCCTATGTCTTCGAGCAGAATGTCACAATTCCCCTGAAAGATCAATCTGGCCTTGTGCGCTGCAACGTTTACCGCCCCAAAGAATTGGAGAAGGCGCCCGTGCTGGTGACCTACGGCCCCTACGGAAAGGATATCCCCTATGCAGACTTCCACCCTCAGTCGTTTAGTGAAGTCAATCCAGAGCATCGCTCAGAGCACTCAGCATGGGAGACACCCGATCCCCTTTTCTGGACCCAAAATGGATACGCCGTGGTTCGAGCGGACGAGCGGGGAACTGGCCAGTCGCGCGGCAAGCTGGACACCATGTCTCGCGAGACCAGCGAGGCCTTCTTTGATGTGGTGGAGTGGGCGGCCGAGCAACCATGGTCTACAGGAAAAGTCGGCTTGCTTGGTATTAGCTACTATGCTGGAAGTCAATGGCGAGTCAGCGCCCGCCAGCCCAAGGGCTTGAGTTGCATTATTCCCTGGGAGGGTATGTCTGACTATTACCGCGACCGTTGTCGCCACGGCGGTATTCTTTCCAACAAGTTTATCAAGTTCTGGTGGGATCGTCAGGTCGTATCGAACCAATACGGACGCCCCGGTCGAGCAGCACGTAACTGGGGCCCCGATACCATCGAGGGTGATCTCTCCGAGGAGGAACTGGAGGCCAACCGTCAAGACCAGACGATCGACAATGTCAACAACCATTTCCGGGATGATGTATACTATGCTAGCAAGGAGTACACCATGACCGATATTCAGGTTCCTCTTCTCTCGGTCGCCAATTGGGGTGGTATCCTCCTGCATCTTCGCGGCAACGTCGAGGGGTACACTCAAGCCGGCAGCGAACTCAAGTACCTGCGCTTCATCACGGGCCGTCACGATCTGCCTTTCTACTACAAGGAGGAAGTTGAGGTGCAGCGGAGTTTTCTGGATGCTTTCCTGAAGGGCGAAGATCGCGCTGGTTGGGCGGACGGCACTGCTCCCAAGGTTGATGTGGTCCTCCGCAAGGGCGATGTTGGTTTCAACAACGCCGAAGCCGAGAAGCAGTACCCGCGCCGACAGGAGAATGAGTGGCCTATCGCACGCACCCAGTATACTCGTTACTACCTGAATTCGAAGCAGGAGCTGGTGACGGAAGCCCCCAAGGAAAGACCGACCAAGATCACGTACCGTGCTCTAGGCAACCTCGACGAGCCACAGCTGGTGCAGTTCACGACGGCACCATTCGGGCAGGAAACGGAAATCACCGGTCACATCGTGGCCCACCTCAACGTATCGATGAGCCCAGAGCCCGGGCGTCCGACGCCCAGAGATATCGACCTGTTCCTGACACTGCGTCATATCTCCCCGGAGGGCAAAGAGGTCTTCTACACCGGCACAGCAGGGGATCCGGTCCCTCTCTGCAAAGGCTGGCAGCGAGTCAGTCTGCGCAAGATCAACGCGGAGCACCCGCGCAACCGGCCTTGGCTGCCCCATCGCGACTATTATTCCACCGATGTGCTGCCGGTGGTTCCGGGCGAGGTGTACGCGGTGGATGTGGAGGTGTGGCCGACCAACGTGGTGGTGGAGAAGGGAGGGAAGATTGTTTTTGAGGTGTCCTCGGGGGATACGCAGGGGTCCGGTCTGTTCCAGCATAATTCGCCTGTCGACCGGTCGGAGGAGAAGTTCCAGGGATTCAACTACATCAATTTCGGGCATGGGGATAACTATGTGACTTTGCCGATTATTCCTCCGAGGGAGTAGATTGTCAGACTTAGAAACATAGACTTGAGGGTGGGGATGGAAGTCGACCGACCAAACAATTGAATTGATTGATTGCTTACACACGCTTGTAACTGATCCTGAGCCCCTCACCCGATGTGGTCCCGAAACGCACCCGAGAGCGTTCCCCGCAGTATGGCCGGTAACTATGACTGATATACTCAGTAGGTAGGATGTTAGAGAGCAAGAACGATAGACACAAAAACACACATATAGCTCAAGTAGTGGCATCTTCGCTCGATCCCTATACAATCTCCAATTTCCTCATACTTGTCTTGAACAGATCCAACAGCCAACCGCACAATTCCATTACTACTACAACCAAACCCAGCCTACCAAACCACCACCACCACCACCACCACCAACAACCCCTTTCTTTCCTTTTCAACCTCCCAAATCTCGAAAACCAAAAACACAAGCAACAATGGCCACTGCAACCCCCCCAAGCACCACGGCCCCCAAAAACATCCGCCCCCTCAACCGCTACATCACCACCCACTCCCCGACCACGGGCCAGGCGATCTTCTCCACCGCCCTGCCCGAGACCATGCCCATCCAGCAGATCAACGACTCCGCGGGCGCCCAGTTCTCGCTCGCGTACACCACCGACACGTTCCCCGTGGACCTGACCGCCGACCGCGACATCCCCGCCTACAACCACTACCTCACCCACCCCCCCGGCATCACGATCAGCACGGGCACCGTCTGCCGGATCGTGGACATGCCGCCGCATGCGCTGAGCCCCATGCACCGCACCGTCTCGCTGGACTATGGGGTCGTGCTGGAGGGCGAGGTCGAGTTGGTGCTGGACTCCGGGGAGACGAGGCTGCTGAAGCGCGGGGATGTGGCCGTCCAGCGCGGCACGAACCATGCGTGGCGGAACGTGACCCCGGATGCTGTGGGGGAGGATGGGGTGAGGGTGGAAGGCTGGGCGCGCATGTTGTATGTGCTTGCGCCGGCGAGGGGGGAGGGGTTGCTGGAGGATGTGACGGGGATTGAGGTCAGGGGGAGTACTTGATTCTCTTATGGGTTTTTAATGGGAAGTGGACGAGGGTGTGGGAAGATTGGGGATGGGGGGGTTGATTTTGTGGTGAGGGAATATAGAGGGGGGGTTTGAGGGGATGGTTGCTGGTGCTGTATGTATGGTTGGTTTTGTGTATGTTGAGGATAGCAATCATGGAGATTAGGACGTTGTGCTTCTGTTTTGATAAATTCTTGTGTGTAGTGCATGTGGTTTTAGTATGTATATGGAATTAGGAGCTATGGGAGTAAATGGTGAGCGCGCTATGCTACTAGAGAGCTGGGTGGTTGAACTATAGAATTGATTGAATCTGGGATATAGTTATCAGTATATGCGTCGTCCTGATCACTGAAGGTTTCAAGGGCTGTTGGACGTTCCAGGTGAGTTCTGGTCTCGGAGGAACACCTACATGGCTATTCACACTAGACAAGCTCAACTGAATAATAGAACTTGATTTGAATGAACTGCATTGCATTGCTCTGTGACAGAAAACTAGTATAACTCCCAGACTTGACATGTTTGTATCGCAGTCCTCGCATGCCCCGTAAATTCAACGCTACCACTCTCCTCCGATCTCGTAGTGAAAGATCTTGTCGTTGATCTTCCCCCCCGTCGCATGCCAGACTCGTGACACGACCTAACCTCATTAGCTGTGCTCGATATGCCTGTCAGTCGAACCTGACTTACCGCGTTCAGCCAAACACCGTGTAGCATGGTCTGAATGAACACAAATTCGGCTCTGTTCGCGCCCGCCTGTCGCTCACTCAGATTCAGCTCGCGGTTGACCGGACGGTAGGCAGGCACCCGGCGATGGTCGGTGGGCCAGTTGGCGGGCTGTGCGGGTGATGTCGTGCTGGAGGTTGATTCTTGTGATGGTGAAGGGGTCGCCTCGCCTGAGTGATGCAGTTCATAATCCGATAGCACAGATACAGTGCCAACCCGTGTGGAGGAGGTGGTTGTTGTGGTGGTCGCGGAGGTCGTCGACATGGTGATGATGATTGCGTGGGGAAGGCAATGATGGGGAAACTGATCATGGTGAGATAGTTACAGAATAGCTGGAGTCAGGGTGATATGCTGAATGCTGCAGCATCAAACCTCGGCAGGCAATCGGTCGCCCCAAAGCGCATCTCTTGCCTCCTCCACATCCCGAACCCCATGCCCATCCTTCCCCATTCCCCCATCTTCCAGCACCTAGACTGCGGCCCATTGATCCGACTGGCCCATTCATGTCCACATAGTTGAAAGGAATCGACTGCTAGCTTATCTCCGAAGCTGAGGTCGGTTCGTTCCCCAGATCTTGTTTATGGCTATATTCCTACCCCGTTCTCACAAGGCCTCGTGCAAACATTGTCTCTCACATCATCGACGAAAATGGTTGCACCACAGTACTTCCCCCGGATCTTGTCCGCGGAAATCGATGGCCGCACTCAGAACATCCGATACCGTCAGAACCAATTCCACCGATTACAGTCTACCCTCGTCCAGCACGTTGACCAGATCAAGGACGCTCTGCTCACCGACTCGGGCCATGCGCCCGAGGAAGTCCGCGCCGAGATCTGTCTGGCATTGAAGGAGGTCCGTACGCACTATGCTTCGCTGGACTTGAGCAGAGACCTTGAGGAAGAGTATAGGGTTGCACATGGGAAAGATAACCGGGATGGCAAGCGTGGCGCGGGCATCGTCTACATCGTCCCGTGCACGCACACCATGTTCTTCTCTGTTGTCTCGGCGTTGAGTGCGGCGCTGGCGGCGGGGAACTGCATTATCCTGGAGGTATGTTTACCGCTTGTTCTGACAGAAGGAGGAGAGACGACTAACCGATGATTGGGGGTAGTTGACGAAAAACACTATGGCCCTGCCTGCTCTACTGAAAAAGATCCTCCCGCCGGTGCTGGATGCAGATACCTTCGCCGTTAGCGAAGATAGACCCGATGCGAGCTTTTTGAGCCGGGTGGTAGTACTCAATCAGAACGGCGATGCAGGCCAAACCTCCGGCCAAAGTATCTCTTCTCCAAGCACAGCTCGGACGGTCGCCGTGGTCGACCGCACTGCCGACGTGCCGGCGGCGGCGGAGGCGCTGGTCGCGGCGCGGTTGACCTTTGGAGGTCGCTCGCCATACTCGCCCGATGTGGTGCTTGTCCAGGAATTTGTCATGAAGGAGTTTGTGGAAGCGGTGCTTCAGCGGTCGTCGAAGTACCTGGGCGGCCAGAATGGCGAGGCGCGACAGACCGTCGCGAACCCTCGTCGCGCGAGTCCGGGAGCCTCGTTGCTCGACGCCGCGCATAAGGATGCTGGCTCGCGCGTTCTAGTTTCTGGATCCGAGTGGGGAGTTGTCGAAGTGCTGGATCGGTAGGTCTCTGAGAGGCGGTGGAAGTTCAGGCTGCTTGCTAAACATTGTTCAGGAAATCTCCCCTGCTACAGAGAAAGGTCGCTGAGAAAGTGCTGATCCTACACCCGATAACCAGTCTGGATGATGCCATTGACTTTAGTACTTCGTATGTTGCATCGGTTCGTTCTGAAGCAGGAAGCAAACGAAGCTAACAGTCGCAGACGCGGAACTCTTGCTGCGACATACGCCTTTGCGGCCCCGGCGTCCGCCAAATACCTTACCCAATTCATTGACTCTTACATTTCCTGGGTCAACCATGTTCCCACTGATATGCTGAGTATGTTTATATTGAACATTTGTGCGACATAAAGTTGACGAGTTCTAGTTGGGCCCGCCTATCCCACCAACCTCCCCCCCACCTCTGACACTCGCTACTCGACACTATCACTTCAGGTGCCGCGGCCACAGCTTATTACTCCGACAAGTAACGCCGCACTCACCCAGACAGTCCTGAACACCAAGAATAGCAATTGGAGTCAGGTGTGGGCGGAAAATCTAGCGCCGCTGCCTGCGATCGGCCAACGGGCCGGCAAGAAGATCGGTTTCTTCGAACAAGGCATCATCACGGGCGGAGTGATTCTTCTCTTCTCCCTGGCGGCTACGGTGTCGACGATGGGATTCTATGGCTTCTCTGCTATCAAGCGACTGCGTGCGTGAATCTTGTTTCTATTAGTTCTGTCTCTGGTTTAAATATACCATATCATCTTGCAGTGTCTTTACCCTTTACACATGTTCTTTCCGTCATTCCTTCCTCTAAACACAGATTCACGGTGCTCTCCCCAAGTTGGTTGCTATGGAATTGGTGTCGGGGAAGGAATTGGTCCAGCGAATGCTTTATCATGAAGATTCAATCGAGCTAAATCAGATGCTTAAGGTTCTTTCAATCCGTGGGAGCTAGACTGAGGGCGCTGGTGTTGCTGAGGTGGTAGGTAGTATTATTGGTGTTCAAAGTGCCGTGCCGTATAGTAGTGAGTCCTGCTTACAGTGCCAGGATAAAAATCGCCTTCCTGCCATTTCCTTAATGCTTCATCGCCACAGCGTCGCCAGTAGTCCAATGGCTTGGCGGTCTAGTTGAGCATCATTGGCGGCCCATGTAAGAAGAAGTGTACCGGGCCTGGCTTCGTGTTTGTTGCTGTGGTGAACCATCAAAGAGCAGATTAGCAACTACGCTTCGGAACTAGACGGGCTGGTCTGTGGAGTGTCTACTTGCCCGTTCTTGGTTGATTGTATCGCACGATCAAAGCAAGTCCAGGAGGCTTAGTGGAGATGCTCTGGTGGATAGCGTATGTCGCCGCCACCGCCAGGGCAGGCTGTGGCCGGGATGTGCCTCCACATCCCGAAGCGAGGTGTTCAGCGTCAGCATTTCTCCCCAAGAGCAACTAATCAACCAGCACCGGTCAATGCTTTGGGTTTAAGAGCTGAGATCGTCGTCTCTTACCTCTTGGTCTGTTTCTCGTGCACTCGGAACTTTTCAGGTTGATTGTCTCGGCTGATTTCGGTTCGGCTGGTTTGGTTCAGATCTACTGTGCAGTACAGACAGGTAGGATGAGAGATTAATTCTCGCTGAGTCATGTGTCGAAAATGAGTCAATGGGTCAATTGACCGTGCAAGTGACCACCTGTGGTCGACAAGTTCTAAACAGGCTAGAATCCATAGCAAGTAGTTCGAGTAAGTGTACGAGCACGAATTAGTAAGGCAGCCGAGTTCTACGGAGTCGAGTGGGTCCTTTTCCCCGCAATGCACTTGACCCGGTCTGTTCCTTCCCCGGATCCTGAACCACCCAAACATTTTCTCTTCCCCCTCCCACTGTACGCCCATCATCTCCTTCACTCTCCCCTCCACCACACACACCATCATGTCAAATTCTCAACAATGTTAGAGGAACCACCTACTGAAATTGCCCCCTCTACCTCCGTGCAATCTCCCTCAAGATCAGCCCAAAAAGCCCGCGATGGCTATTTTCAATGTGGTTTCTGCAAGAAACACTATAACCGTGCCGACCATTTAATCCGCCATGTTCGGTCGCGTAAGTCCTTGTTATTCGAGCTCGCACGAAGAAGACTAATTGCTCTGTAGATACCCGAGAGAAGCCCTATGTGTGTCACATTTGCAACAAAGGCTTCGCTAGACCGTAAGTCGCCCTCTTTCCTTTTGTCGCAAACTCATGAACTCCGTGAGCTTCCAGTGATCGAGAAGCTCGCCGGCCCAAAGCGGACTCAATTGTTCTTAATGGGTCGCTACATTACTGACCTCAACTAGGGATCTCATGAAACGTCACGCCGCAGGTCATGATCAACCCCGCGACGGCAAGAGAAAACGGCCGCCAGTCTTCGCCAAGAGTGGCCGTGTCTCCCAAGCCTGTCGAGCATGCGCAACGTCAAAGCTCAAGTGTGACGAGGAGAAGCCTTGCCGACGGTGCCGAGACAAGAAGCTGGAGTGCGACTGGCAGGAGGCAAATCCCGGCGAGATGTCTCCCGGTTCATCATCGCAAGGTCTGTCGTTGCTCTGCTATGCACTGGATCTGCAGCAGCCAGGCACCCCGGCTGAACTCCCACCAGCATACGATGAGCCTGACGAGACCGAAATGTGCCTCGAAACCCCTCAGACA